ACTAAACATAAATTTATTACAAACCAACTTGCAAATATTTAAAAAGAACTTTAATCACAAACAAGCATAATCATTTAAAATATTAAGTGTTAAATTATATATTTTACATTTATAGAATACCCAATGTAAGAATTAGATAAAACTGGAAGTCTGGTTCTGTTCATGAAACAAAGTAATGTAGCTCAAAATATGACAAATATGTTAAGAAACATACATACAACATATAACTTGTAAACCAATTTTATTTGGTTTCATGAAAAGTGAATAAAATGGTGCATTTAATACTTAATGTGAATCTTTTGTAAGCTGAAGCAAATGTAAAATTTGTATCATAACTTTACAGGAAAGAGGTTACCTCGCTCAATTGGTTGAAGAATCATCTTTTATATCAAAAGGTTGTGGGTTGCATTCCTGATCAGGGAACATACCTAGATTGCATGTTTGATCCCTGGTCAACCAATCTATGTTTTTTTCTCACATGGATGTTTCTCCCTCCCCCTCTCTCTCTCTTTCTCTCTCTCCCCTCTCTCTCTCTCTCTTATTAATAAAACATCCTCAAAGAAGGATTTAAAAAGTTATCAATGAATGTATTATTTTATACATTACTTCGGATGTATTATTTTATACATTACTTTGTACAATATTTGTGATGCAGGTCATTTGTTGAAATTTATTTGTCATACTTATTTTAAATGTTTGTTTTCTTGAAATACAGGGTGGGCAAAAGTGGAATTATAGCTGTTCTTATGGAAAAAGACACGTAGGTTTTGATTATTATAATAGCATTATAACTCAAAAGAATATCACAATGCAACTGTAAACCTCCTTTTGCCAACCCTTGTATATCAATAAAGCACTTCTTTTAAAATATATATATATATATATATGTTTCTATTGATTTCAGTGAGAGGAAAGGGAAAGAGAGGAATATCAATGATGAGAAACATCAATTGGCTGCCTCTTGTATGCTCCCTTCTGAGGATTGAGCCTGCAACCAGGGCATGTGCCCTAACCTGGAATTGAACCTTGACCTCCTAGTTTATGAGTCAATGCTCAACCACTCTACCACACTGGCTGGGCAATGGAGCATTCCCCCCACCCCCCCATTGATTCACATAGTTTCTTTTTTTCTAATTTTTCACAATTATAGCTTAGCATCACTGCAGTTTTAAATAATCTCATTCATGAAATGTTACCTTAAGTGAGACTTTCTAATTGCCCTTATTTTCCAGATACTTGTGAGATACAAGTATGATTTATTTACAGCTGATCAAAGAACTCTGGAAATACTATCAAATGTTAAAAATTGATCCTGGATTATAATTTTTATAAGAGGTTAGTTTATAAGAGTGTGCTATACTCACAAAACATTTAATTCTTTAAGCCACTTAACATCTGAAAGCCTCATTAATGAATCATGAATAAAGGTAAAAACTATTAACCCTGAATGCTGAGGACATTGGTCTGGCCACAAACATCATAAAAAAAAGAGGTGCAAACCAACAAGATTACAGTTAAAATCACAAGAAAATCCATTATTAGAAAATCTTATCCTATATAAATAAAAGGGTAATATACAAATAGACAGAATGGTAGCACCACCAATCAAAGCATAATATGCTAATGATATGCTAAGGCTTCTCAGCTGCTCACTATGATGTGCACTGACTACCTGGGGACAGAAGCTCCGACCAGAAGGTAGCTTGCTGCTGGGGTCCAGCAGATCTGGACTGAGCAAGATGGGCTGGACATCCCTGGAGCCCTTCTGCGGTCCCTCCCCAGCTCAATCATGCACCAGTGGGGTCCCTCAGCCTGGCCTGTACCCTCTCACAATCTAGGACCCCTCAGGGAATCTCGGAGAGCAGGTTTCACCCTGACCCCACAGGCCACGCCACTCCCCTTGGAAGGGCGCCAGACAAAGGGCTCATGGCTGGCAAGCTCTGCTTTTGCAGCGCGAGCCTATCCCTATTGGGACTGATGGGGCATGAGCCCACAGCAGGTGCAGTGTGGCTGGGATGAGCAGGAGCATCAGATAGGGAGCTGCAGGTGGCATTGAACTTTGGGTATTGGCCTGATCCCTGCAGGCCATACAGAAGGACCCCAACTATGCATGAATTCATGCACCTGGCCTCTAGTATACAATATAAAAATATCATAATGATCACAAACATATTTAGGTTTTATTTCTCTCTTTATATTGAATATTAATAAAATATTAACTGTGGTTTACTGGAGAACTATAGTAAAATCATAAAAATTAGATACTCAGCCGAAACCGGTTTGGCTCAGTGGATAGAGCGTCGGCCTGCGGACTGAAAGGTCCTGGTTTCGATTGCGGTCAAGGGCATGTACCCTGGTTGCGGGCACATTCCCAGTAGGGGATGTGCAAGAGGCAGCTGATTGATGTTTCTCTCTCATCGATGTTTCTAACTCTCTATCCTTCTCTCTTCCTCTCTGTAAAAAATCAATAAAATATATTTTTTAAAATTTAAAAAAAATTAGATACTCAGTTGAAAGAAATTTTTAATTTTTTAAACAACAATAAAATAATTTCTTACCATAAGTCAAATAAATATAAGATTTGTAGATATGATTTCAACAAGATGTCATTTTCTTTCCTGCTACTACCCATGGTACAAGCCAGAGCAAGCTATTTACTACAAGTGTACTGTAATATCTTTAAACCAGTCTTAGACCAAGTTTCATTAAGAGCTATTCATTTCATGTGCCTTATATCCATATCTCAAATGTGTTGTTCTAAGCCTGGATGTTTCCTCATGGTGCATTACACATGATAAGATAGATAAAATGCAAAATAAATATTTGTTGACTGTTCAATTTTGTTTTACAACTTGATTATTTAGACTTTTGAAATAGTTGTGTTGTTTTCTTGATTCCTAGTGCATTAGACTGCAATCAATTCTAATTCTTAAGTTTCATATTTTTAAAAAAAGGTAAATTTCAACCACAAGCAGTGCAGATACTAGAATTTCAAAGGCAGTTGTTTGTTTGTTTTTTAAATAAAATGTGTTATGTATTTTTGTAAGTCATTAAGATATTATGGAGAATAATATTAGTTGAAATCTTGAAATCCCCTTTATTAAATTTGAAGAAAACTAGGTGGTAACAACACATTATAAAATGGGCTATTTGCTCAGCAAATAGGTCAGCAAAATAAAGCAAAAACAAAACAAAACAAAACAAAACAAAAAAACAACCAGCAACAAGAACAAAAGGCATATCTTAGTTACAAATAATTCCAAATAGCCTACTTATGCTTCCAGGCACTGATTGTACAAGGTAACTTATTGAGAAGTGGAAAACAGAAAAATCAGGAAAGGGTCAAGATGGTGGATTTTATCATTAATTGAAATTTGGTCCAAAAAAGCACAAGCACACATCAATATTGTGTAAAGTATTCTGAGAAGCACTGGTATCTTGGGGAATTGGAAAGAAGAACTAACATGTTCTATTTAGTGCTACTAAGAATTCTTTTTTTTTATGTAGAAAAAGATAAATCTTTGATGTCAACATTTATATTAAATCTATGCACACATTTAAAAAGTAATGCCTCAAACTTGCCGGTTTGGCTTGGTGGATAGAGCATCGGCCTGCGGACTGAAGGGTCCCAGGTTTGATTCCAGTCAAGGGCACATGGCTGGGTTGTGGCGCTAACCCTAGTGGAGGGTGTGCAGGAGGCAGCCAATCAATAATTCTCTCTCATCATTGATGTTTCTGTCTCTTCCTCTTCCTTCCTCTCTGAAATCAATAAAAATATGTTGAAAAAAGTAATTCCTCCATTTGTTAGATGCAAATAATTCTCACACAGACTGAGAATTAACTTGCAAAATGGGCTCATATAAGAAAAAAAAATAACTACAATCAAAGCAATGATTCTAGAATTAACTACAAATGGCTCACATTTCTTTTAAATTATATGTAAAGTTCATCCAACATGTCTGCAGTGCCTCTTAAACCTAAAGAGAGTAGTGACCTGGGATGACAGTGTTGGAGTAAGGCTCATGGGACCCAGCCTCAATTCATAGAATATTGGTGGTTATTTATTCAACTCCTATACACTCTGCAGCTGGGAAAGCTGAATTCTCACACTAGGAAAACAGCTTTCTCCAGGCCACAACAGATGTGTGGCTCTAAGTCTCATGAGGGTGGCCATGGTGTCTAACTTGCTCATATTTTATTACCACCTCATAAATAGTATAGTGCTTGATATATGGTTGGTGTTCTAGAAATATTTTGGTTGGGTCAATGAATGAAAAAATGAATTCATGAATGAATGAATGAATGAATGAATAAATGAGACATAGGCAGAACCAGGGTAACCTATGTTTTCAAGGATGCTGGCATCTGGGTAATTAAGGTGATAATTTGATTTGTGATCATAAGTCCCTCAAAAATGTTCTTGTTTGGGCCATATTCATTTAAGAGGCAATGCCAGGTGCCTATAGAGACTGACACCCCGAGGGCATTTTGAGATAATTTTAATTCTTTTTAATTCTTAATTTATCTGTGGTATTGCTTATCAGTAGAGATACAGATGTTTAAAGATACCTTGTCAACTCCACCTTGGGACACTCAACTTACTGAACTGCACTACACATAACACTACTCACATCTGCATTTGACTCCCATCCATGGTGATGGGCAAATACACTTGTTTCTACCTTACCCCCAGCTACTTGAACACTCAGTACCAGGTACATAGAGTAATAATAGCACTCTTTCTGAAGGTAGTTTTCAGAAATGAAGAGGAGCAGGAGAGTAATAGAAGTGAGAGTGTGGAAGCTGTGAGCATTTAAACTGTTTGATGCAAGAAGAAAATCTGTTAAATTTTTTATAATTGGAACGGCAAATGTAGATCTCAAAGGAATATACAGGCAATTGGAAAATACCTTTTTCAAGTGCTGGGAGGAAGTCAACAGCAGGTGTTGGTGTGTAAGCAAGTCAAATTTAGGTGAAAGAAGAGCAGACATGTTTCATTAGAATCTTGGAAGCCATTCCCTGCAGATTTAAGTGGATAATTGAGAGTGACATTTAAAGTGGCAGGAGGCAGCCTTGGAAATAGCTTCTGTATTCCACATAGCCAGGTTTAAGTGCAAGAGAGGTCTTTGTAAACAGAGTTCATGGCAGTCCTTTGTGATAGAAGGGGAGTCACTAAGTCTGTTTGGGAACCCAGGTAAACTTCCAGCCTCCCACCTCATCTCGACGAACAAAGGCTTGTCCCTGGTGGAAGGAATGAGTTTTCACATTGCAGTGGGGGCTCAGGGATGTGGAAAAGGCCATCTCAGTCTTATTGGGTGACACATCCGAAGTATAGTAAGGAAGAGTGTGCAGCCCTCCTGGGAGACTTGGAAGTTGAGAAAGGAAGTGAAAATCTTCCCCAGGGCTGGCAGTGCTGCAGGAAGGAGTGGTTCTTTCGTCTCCATAGTCAATTTGCAGATCCTCAGTGGGGGCCTTTTCATAATGAACTGCATTCTCCAGAAACTGGGGAAATGTGCTGGTGATTCTTCTGGGGTGAGGGGAGAGGGCACTGTAGTTAGCTGATAAGGTATCATCAATGGTGTTGAGATCTTTTAACCCAAGTGTTTGAAGGACCCAGGGATCCACAGGGGGCCCCGGTTGTTCTTCACAGTTATCGAATTCACTAGAGAGGTTTCTCTTGGCATTTTTGCGATGGGGGATCTCAGGAGGAAAATATCTTTGCTCTTTGGGTTTCCTCTTCCCCTTTCTGAATTTTCCATATGCTTTGGAGAAATCATCTGATGACAGCAATTTCTGGGAAAATAACATTTGCAAATATACACAGTCAGGTAATCAAGCAATATCGTTTTTCTTTACTGTTGTGTAATTACGCCTTCTTCAAATAGTAGCTAGTCTCCTTAAGTCCTTAGAAAACGTGATTAAGCTTCTATTTGTGTACACAGGCATGCACAAGTAAAACTGATTGCATTATTAGCTTCTGTTTCTAAGTTTAAATCTATAATGAGAATTTACCACCTAGAAATTCCAATTCATATTTTTTACTAGTCATTTAAAAGTTGAAAGGAGTAAATTATGTCTTTAAATTTTTTATCCAGGGAAGTAATTATTATTATAGTGAAAATAATAGCAACTATCATGTAATCGACAGTGGTTACATACATAATCTCATTTTAAGTACTGTTAAAATTCCCTTTAATAAAGAAACTAAGGCACAGGCATAGTAATGGCTTGTTAAAAATCACTTAGCCTAGATTTACATCTAAACCATCTGAATCTAGACAGAACAGGGGGAGGGGAGTTGGAGGGATTGGTGAACAAGATGAAGAGGTTAAGCAAAAATAGACAATGCATAGACACACACACAAAATAATAAAACATATTTTTTGGTTCTAAATTAGTATGATACACCAATGATGTATCTTTTCACAATCAAATAATTTGTAAAGTAATACATAATTTTAAATGTTTGTATTTTTACCTAATGAATAATTAAAATTAGTTTATTCAACATAGCACTGGAAGTCCTACCTACAGCAATCAGCAATCGGACTGGAAAAAGGCATAGGAATCCAAATTGGATAGGAGGAAGTAAAATTGTCATTATTTGGAGATGACATGATATTGTACATAGAAAACCCTAAAGACTAAACACCAAACAAACAAACAAACAAAACCTGCCAGATTTAATAAATTAATTTGGCAAGTAGCAGGATACAAAATTAACAACCAAAAATTGATGGTGTTTTTATGTACCAGCTAGAGGCCCGGTGCACAGATTCATGCACTGGTGGGGTCCTTTGGCTTGGCCTGCCAGGATAAGGCTAAAACTGGCTCTCTGACATCCCCTTAGGGGTCCCAGATTGCAAAAGGGTACAGGCCAGGCCGAGGGCTCTCACCAGTGCACAATTGGGGCCAGGGAGGGACCACAGGAGGTCTCCCGGGCGTGTCCAGCCTGTCTTGCCCAGTACCAATCAGCAGGACTTCAGTAGCAAGCTAACCTACCAGTCCAAGTATCTGTCCCCTGGTGGTCAGTACATGTCATAGTGGGCATCATAATGACTAGTCAAACAGTCAAAAGGTCTGACACTTAGTATCTTAGGCTTTTATTATATAGGGTAATGAATTCTCAGGAAGAGAAATTAGAAACTCAACCCCATTTATCATTTCAACAACAACAACAACAACAACAAAATAAGATACCTAGGAATAAACTTAACCAAGGAAGTAGTAGATCTACACATGGAAAACTATAGGACATTGAAAAAAAGTAATAGAGGAAGATATAGTAAGTGAAAGCATATACTATGTTCATGGATTGAAAGAACTAACATAATCAAAATGTCCATACTACCCAAAGCAATCTATAGATTCACTGTAAACCTTATTAAAACACCAATGGCATATTTCCAGATCTAGAACAAATATTCAAAAAAATTAGGGAGCCAAAAAAGACCCCAAATAACCACAGCAATCTTGAGGAAGAAGAAAAAAGTTGGAGGGATCACAATACCAGATATCAAGTCATACTACAAAGCCACTGTAATCAAAACAGCCTAGTACTGGCACAAGAAGAGGCATATAGGTTAATGGAACAGAGCAGAGAACCCAGGAATAGACCCAAGCCATTTTGTTCAATTAATATTAACAAAGGAGGCAATAGCATACAATGAAATAAAGATAGTCACATCAATAAATGGTGTTGGGAAAATTAGACAAGTATATACAAAAAAATTTGGATCACCAACTTATACCATATACAAGAATAAACTCAAAATGGATAAAATATATATGTAAGTCACAAAACCATAAGGATCCTAGAAGAAAACACGCCAGTAAAATCTCAGACATTTCTCATAATAATATTTTTTGCTACTATATCTCCTAGGGCAAGGGAAACAAAGGAAAAAATAAACAAATAGACTATATCAAACTAAAAAGCTTCTGCACAGCAAAAGAAACCATTAAGAAAATTAAAAGGGAGCCTACTGTATTGGAGAACATATTTACCAATGATATATCTTATAAAGGGTTAATATCTAAAATATATAAGGAACTCATATAACTTAACAAAAGGGAGATGAATAATAATCCAATTAAAAATGGGCAAAGGACCTAAATAGACATAAAGATCACCAAGAGGCATATGAAAAAATGCTCAAAGTGACTGATCATCAGAGAGATGCAAATTAAAACCACTGTCAGATTGGTTATTATCAATAAATCAACAAACAGCTAGTGCAGGTGAGGATGTGGAGAAATGGGACCCCTCAGGCACTGCTAGTAGGAATACAGACTGGTGCAGCCACTGTGGAAAACAGTAGGGAGTTTCCTCAAAAAATTAAAAATGGAACTTCCTTTGTACCCAGTGATTCTAGTTCTGGGAATATATCCTAATAATCCTGAATCATTAATTCAAAATAATATATGTAGCCCTATGATCATTGTAGGAGATGAGTGGGTTAAAATGATGTGGGCCCTAGCTGGTTTGCTCAGGTGATTGGAGCATCATCAGGTACACCATAAAGGTTGTTGGTTCGACTTCTGGTCAGGCACATACCTATGTTGTGAGTTACATCGCTAGCCTGGAAGGAAGCTGATTGATGTTTATCTCTCCTTTCCTCTCCTCCCTTTCTCTTTCTCTCTCTCTCTCTCTCTCTCTCTCTCTCTCTCTCTCTCTCTCTCTCATTAATAAACATATGTTCCCAAGTAAGGATTAAAAAAAAAAAAAAAGCTCTGGTACCTTTATATAATGGAATACTGCATGATTGTAAAAAAGAAGGAAATATTACATTTTGTGACAGTTTGGATGGACCTGAAGATTATTATGCTAAGTGAAATAAGAAAAATACCATATATCTCACTTATATGTGGAATCTAAGGAACAAAATAAGCTGACAAAAATAGAACCAGATGCAGGAACACATGGAACAGACTGACAGCTGTCAGAGGGGCTGGGAGAAGGGGAGACTGGATGAAAGAAGGTGAAGGGATTAGCCAAAAAATTTATATGCATAACCCATAGACACAAATAATGGTGTGGTGATGGCCAGAGGAAAGGGGAGGCAGGACTGGGTGGAGGTGGGCAAAGGAATATCTGTAGTAATGTCAACAAAAACATAAATTAAAAAAATAAAATTGAGACATCTGTAATACTTTCAACAATAAAAATAAATGTAAAAAATGTAAATAATATAATTAGTTGCAATTGCTGTCCAAAAAGAAAAAAGAAACTATGTAACACTGCTTCCTCTTATTTCATTAACTTTCATAGCACTCCCATGTGATATGTATTATAGTGTTCTAAATCATGCAAAATTGAGAATAAGGGAGAAAAAACTGCCTAATTAATATCACATACTAATTTAATAACTGTTCTTCTTCTGGAGTTAAGGCTAATAATTATAAGAGCTGAATTGTAAAGGACTCAAAAATAGCATGCCTCTTTTTTCTCTGAACTGTTATGTCCAGTAAGAGTAGTAAAAAGCATCATCAATTTAGCTTAAATCATATAAAATAATGTGGCTTGTCTAGAAATAAGGTAAAGATTGATATAAGCAATAATAATAACGGAATGGCAAAAAAGATAACAAAAAAATATAAAACCCAAAACAAAAAGGGGTATGGGCAAGTTATTTACCCTTGAGTTAGAATAACTCACTTTAAAAGTGTAAGAAAAATGCTTATTAAAAGATAATATAGCCCTGGCCAATGTGGCTTTGTTGGTTGGCCATCATTCTATGCACTGAAAAGCTGCTGGTTTGATTTCTGGTCAAGGAACTTGCTTGGGTTTTTTATTGGTTCCTTGGTAGGGCATGTGCAGAAAACAGTGAATCAATGTTGTTCTCACATTGATGTTTCTGTCTAGCTCCCTCTCCCTCTCTCTAAAAATCAATTACAAAATGAAGATATGTAATTAACAATCTCTAATTGACAGTCAAGAGATCTGGACCCCAGTCATTTCTATGACAATTCAGAGCTGGGAAGATTCTTAAAAGATCTTTTAGCCCAGTGGTCAGCAAACTCATTAGTCAACAGAGCAAATATCAACAGTACAATGATTGAAATTTCTTTTGAGAGCCGAAAACCGACTTCTGTGCATGGGCCATGAGGTTTCAATTGAGCTGTACATGTGCGCCCGCATGTGCTATTTTGTGGAAGAGCCACACTGAAGGGGCCAAAGAGCCTCATGTGGCTCACGAGCCGCAGTTTGCTAACCACTGTTTTAGCCCATTCATTTTCAGATGAAGGTAATTGAGGCCCTAAATGATAGTGATTCACCAAAAGTCAAACAGACAATGCAAAAAAACAACAACAGTGTTCCTCAGATCTGATTCCCTCTCCAATGTTCCATCTAAGTCTGTTGTTGATTAGCTTCTGTGGTCTCATCAACCCCCTTGGCTGGCTTTTGATCCTTAAGCAACTTCTTTTGTAATATATGACTAAAATATATAATCTAGTTGCTTCCAAGAAATGATGCATAAAAATTCTTCTGAAAGTGCTGTATTTTGATTAGAAAAATCCATCCATCCTATAAATGCATTAGAAGGCACGTTTGGTACACTTCCTCCATTTAATCAAGGAGTGCTATCAAATGCTCTCCTTTCTCAAATAGACTTTATATCCACTCTATCCTTATAGAGGGGAGAGGTACATACCTTGGCTTTTTCCTCAAGACATTTAACCAGAGCAGAATTCAGGTATTGTCTGAGGTGATTATTCTCTTCATGTAACCTAGCAAGTTCTTCTTCCTTCTGCACCAGCGTATCTTGGAGCTGCAAAAAGTAGACAATGGTGAAGGCTGCTCCACTGTATTGACTTTGTAACCATGTAATAGTGCCACTGATCCTTAACCTGCTTAAACCTCATTATTATTTTGTTTGTTTTAAGAATTCTACCTCAGGGAGCCCTCCTCCTCAGAAGCCTAAATTCAGTCTACACCCACCTACCACCTGATTGTTCAGTTTTTGTGCTCTGATTTTTTTTTTCATTGCAAAGTGTTTGAAGAGATTATATGACTTCTAAAATTGTAACCACAAGGGAAGGTATGTAGGAAAATGAGCTGCGTGCAACTGTTTAAATATAGAAAATGATGTTTGGGAAAGTTTTGCTGGACTTTTACCTTGTACTTTACAAAAAAAGAAGATGAAGAAGATGAAGATGAAGATGAAGAAAAAGAAGAAGAAGAGGAGGAGGGAGAGGAGGAGGAGGATGAGGAAGAGGAAGAGGAGGAGGAGGAGGGGGAGGAGGAGGAGGAGGAGGAGGAGGAGGAGGAAGAAGAAGAAGAAGAAGAAGAAGAAGAAGAAGAAGAAGAAGAAGAAGAAGAAGAAGAAGAAGAAGAAGAAGAAGAAGAAATGGGTTGGCTTCCCTCAGTCTCAGATTGATTGGCTTGTGTATCCACTTCATTAAATTACTCTCTTTAGAAGAGCTATAAGCATATTATGGAACATGAAACAATCTTTGTGAAAAACTTACAACCATCATTCCTACTCCAAGTGATGAACTATGATTTTAAAATATTACCACACTCATTATATCATTTGATCTTTCCAACAGTTCACAACAGAAGGCAGCCCAAATATTTCAATTTCACAGAGAAGGAAATAAGGATTCAAGAGGGTGTGCAGCTAATCTATGTGCAGAGTCAGAGCTTGACTTTTGATCTCCCTAGTGGGTTTTGGTTGCTGTTGGTGGTTGTGGTGGTGTTTTTTGTTTGTTTGTTTTCTGGGGATTATTTTTTTTCCTTTGGTATTATCACCTAAATTTTATCACTCTATAAGATTTATAATCACTTTGGTCTTAAACTGAAAGTTAACATATGAATTTACAAGGGAAAGGAAGCAGTGTGATATTGAGGAACAACATTAAGAATGGACTGCATAGAGCATGGTCGGTCCCAGTGTTCTGATCTTCTGTACGTACCTGCTTGTTTCTGTAGAGCTGAGAGGAAAGTTGAGCCTCTTCCCATGAACAAGAGTTAGGAAAAGGGAAATTCGAGTCACTGGATGATTCTATGTGGAAACACCAAATAGGTAACTGAGAAAATACACTTGTAGTTTTCGGTTGATAAAGAATTTACAAAAATATTTCATAATGTTTAATAGGTTCAATTTCCATTCCAAAAATAGCCATTGCCTCCACATAGGAAAACAAAATATTTAAAGCATTAAGAAGGAACCAGGATGCCATAAAAGACAAATATTTATAGACTATATGCCAGAATAGCTACAGAGGTACATTTTTAAGGGCTAACAATCACATCCTTCCCTACTATATGTATTCCTGCTGGCTAAATTTATAAAGACTGTCCCATCTGCATTATTAATTCACTCAAATATTTATTAATCCACCCCCCACTAGGCATAACAGTGCAATTCCACTATGTTTTTATCTTATGTTCTAAGCTTTACTGCTTGAAAATGTAGGCTCTATAATCAAATTCTTTTTTTTTTTTATGCTACCATTTTCCCTAGATGAAAATCTCTGTCACCCTATCAGTTAAATCTGATGGAGAACATTTATGCAGAATTCTATGTGGTAGCAATTTCTACTTTAAAGTAATTTATACCTTACTGTTCTGAAGACATTGGTGAAATTTCAAAATGACAACTCATGTATTTCAAATACCATTCTCTGTTTGTTTCACGTGCTTTTACAAATAGGTGTTTTGTTTTGTTTTCATATTTGAAAATAAGCTGTACCGCCCAAGAAAATGATGGTCGGCATACTAAATTGGTTTAGTTTTACCTTCTTTTCCTCACCTAAAAAAGACTCTTGCCTTTCTGTATTTAAACAGAAATATTACTACTGAAATATTTTTAATTAAAGTAGAACAATGGATAAGGAGACAAGAATAAAATTTTATAAACTTTTGTTTCATAATATTAGACATTCTGTTTCTCTGTTGCTTGTGGTAGAAGAAAAAACTGAAAAATTTTCTTCCTGATATATGTGTGTGTGTTGTTTTTTGTTTGTTTGTGGCTTTTGTGTCTTTTCTCAAATTAAAAAAAAATATGTGGCAGAATCAATAGTGCAGATATTCTAAATTGTCTCAGAGTTCTTTCAGAAACTTGAATGTTAAAACATAAATGTATTTAATATTTATAAATATATTGACTAAGCCCTAGGTTAAAATCAATATGCAATTTTCCCATCAATGTTATACTTCCCTCCAAAACTGAAGTCTTGTTGGAGCAAAAAAGAATCATTTTTTCTACTTATAAGACACTGTTCATAGACTCTGCTCTATGAAATTAAATATTAAGTTAGTATTTCTCCTTGTTTTTCTCTCATACCCAGGGAAAGTCCAAAAGAAATGTTCTAACTCATGTCTTGATTCCAAAAGCATCCCACTAGGATTGCTCATAAAACTTTGACCCAGACCAAACTCTTTCAGTGAACTGGAAATCTCCAAGTACTGACAGGTATGGGGAGAAATACAGATTGTCCAGCAGGCAAGGGGAAGAAGATTGTTTTCACTATTTGGCAAGTACAAAAGAATGGATGATTTAGCTTGTATAATGCATGAGTCTTTGGGCTTTCTTACATTTTTTTTCATGCCATCCCTTCTTCTACAGAGCTCCAGCCCATGATGCTTTGCAACTATGGGTGCTGGAAAAGGGCTTCAGATCTACCAGGAGAGCGGAACAGCAGAACTTACCCTGTGCCTGTGGTGCTTGTTGGGGCTCTCTGTTGTCCAGGAGACCAGCAGCCCAGAAAGAGACCCAAGTCTCCGTGGAAACGTCAACACTAGATTCTGACGTTGTAGTGGGATACGGGCAATTATAGCTCTGGCCTCCTACAAAGTACTGGTCTTGGCAAGGCAGAACGGTATTCTGTGAAAATCAGTATGAAGGGTAGAGGGGTTCCCAGCAGATGGGGTGATGGGGATTTGGAGAGAGGAAAGGGTGGGAGAAAGATGCCGAAATTACACTCAATGAATAAAAAACAGTAAAGCTGCTAATTATAGATCCCAGATTAATTTTGACTGGTCAAAGTATAAATACTATAAGGGAGTCAGCTCCTTGGCTTACCCAGTACTTTCCTAAGACCCTCTCGGCAAAGAACAGACTAGTATCAGATGGTCCAAATTGGTACATGTCCAGGCATACTCTCTATTCCCATGTCTGAGTCATCTAACAGGCTACCCATGATCTAAATAAAAGGAATTTTACTTAATGATTCAAAGACATAAGAACTGCTTGACTCTTTCTAGCAAATACCTTAATTTATATTTCCAATAGCCTTGAAAGACACATAATACTAAGGCTGAAATGAACAGAACAACAAAATATAATCTAACTTATTTTCATTTCTTACTTTCTGAATTCTACAGGTGCGCCATTCATCTCTTTTTCTCTCCTCTGACTTCAAATGCTACTGGATCCTGTGGTGATCTGAATGGTTTAAAATAGATACGTAGGTATCTTCCAGGGATACAGAAATACATATTGCCCCATTCTTTTAACTCTAAGCTCAGGAGCATAAAATAACTCCAAGTAAATACATAACCAGAGCTGAACTAAATTAATCAGCAGAGACAGCAAGCTCTAGGTCTCTCCATCACCAGGTCTCAGTGCCCTTCCAGAGTTATCTTGCCACTCCTCACTTCCTGGCAGGGATTCTCCACTGTGTTCTGAGCCAGCGAGCACCCTCCTCCCAGGACTCCTCAAACACAGTCTTTCCAAATGCCCAGGCAGGGGCAGGTATGCGGCAGCCTTCCTGGGTTAATTTGTACAACATCCCTTTTCTAATTATTTGTCAATGTTTAATCAGGTAAAAGCCATTCATTTCAGCAGGGTGCAGATTTGGACAAACTCTTCTGACCACTGTAACTCGTTGTTGACTTGAGGACTTTCTTGGGCATAACATAAACAAAGAAAACAAATAAGGAAAAAAAAAACTCACATGTTCCTGGTAAATTAAGTTTTGAAAAAGCCCATTTTGAAGCAAGTCCAGCTTGGGCAGTGCAGACTAAAGAAATTCAGCCAAAGTTTATCAAGTGCTATTTCTTTTATTCTAAAAGCATGTTTGTAGGCTCTTTCCCTGAGGTTATTACTGGAATTAGAGCTGAGCTATTTTGCAATTGACACCTGAGAAGAAAACAAACCCCAAATAGCCCTAGACTAAGTTAAGTCCAAGTGTTTGCTAATATGTGTATTATCTAGAGGAAGATGTGGAATGAAAAGTAAGTGCAAGTGTACAGGGAAAGTTGGGAGAAAGAAATAACAGAGGGGGTAAAGGATGAGAGAGAGGGTGGATGAGAAAGGGAGATGGGCAGCAAAGAACCTGTCTCTTAATTGACAGGTAGCAGAGAAATCTTCCTTCCAAGGAGGGAGAAATCCCAAATGCAAAGCTTACTAGCTCTCTGCACCCTCAGGATTCACCAGCGAGCTAGCAAAAGCCAGCTCCTCACTTACCATCTTGCAGTGGAAGGAGGCGCTGCAGAAACTGAGTCCACTCTTAATTTTTCCGTAAAGCTGGTGGGAGTTTTAAATGAGACTGAGGGGAGGAGCTAGAAGAGGCGAGTTCTAATCTGCAGGAGTTGCGGGGGACACTAGGGGCTCCTGGTGAGCGGTGAGCGCTGCCTCTGATTTGGTGCGAGGCTCAGGAATCATCCAGCCAAAATCACTAGTGCTCAGGGCAATCGCCTGCTGGGACCTAAAACCTTCAAAACGCGCGCCTGTGCAGGCTCTCTGCCAGCATCAAGGGTGGCGGAGACCGCGCAGCCCGGGCAGACTGGGTAAGCACCAGCTCCGCCCTCGCAGCAGGACAGGGCGGACTGGTTGGCAGGTGCCAGGGCGCAGGGTTAGCCCAGACCCGCATCTCAGGGATCAGGCCAGCACTAGGGGAAGCCCAGGCAACAGGCTCCAGAGTTAATACCGCTCCTGTGTATTTTCCCGGTCACGTGATATAAATATCAACTTGCTGTATGCCATGGTGAATTGATTGCCTTTTTTGCTTCTTCTATATCATTATGGCTCATTTTCCCCAACTTCTAAAGTGGGTGTTAGATGTGGTGGTGATCTATCTCCATTCTAGAATGTAAGCTTCAAGGGAATAGAGGGTTCTGTCTGTTTTGTTCACTGCTTTCTCCAAAGGGTCCGGGACAATTTTTTTAGTATGTGATGGGGTGCTCAATAAAGAATGAATTAGGTCATAAATTTAAGAATCTAAAGTGCCTGTCTCTGTGTTGGTCCTAGCCTCACAGCTACTATATATAAATAAATTATTACAATTAAGAGAAATTAGTGTGTTAATACTTCTCAATTAAAATGTTTAATTCCCACCATCTTCCCTCTTGCATTTTAGTCTCATGATTCCTATGATTTCATATCCAGAGGTGAAAGAGGCTTAACAGCATCTTTAAAACTTTTCATATATATATTGAAATAGCCAATTTATTTCAAATGACAATAACTTAGGAGGAAGGCACTCTTCTTGTCTCTGTTGTATAGGATGGCAACTGATGCACTGAAGTTAAGAAACTTGACCGACTGGTGTTTTTACAGTTAAGCACTGGCAGTCTTGGGATTTGACCCTCTGGCTCCAGTATCCATGCTTCTAACCACTATAATTTTGTTTTCTTGAATCTCTTGACTTCTTTCACTGTAAATTATAACCATGTATGCAATGGGCATTTTCATGCACTGAATTGTGTTCCATCAAAATATATATCTTTTATCCCTAACCCTCAATGTGACTATATTTGGAGATAGGGACTCTATAGAGGTAATCAAGGTTAAGATGTTATAAGGATGGTACTGGAAGCAAACAAGACTGGTGTCCTTGTAAGAAGAGAACGAGACACAGGGGTGGATTGTGGGGAGAAAAGAAAACAGCCAGAAGGCAGACATTTGCAAGTAGAGGAGAGAGGCCCAGGAGAAACTGCTAACACAGCAGACTCTTTGATCTTGGACTTCCAGCCTCCAGAACATAGTTTAATGAGAAATTAAATTTTTGTTGTTTGAGCCACCCAGTCTGTGATTCTTGGTATGGAAGCCCCAGTCAATCAATATAAGCATGGTATAAGAATTGAGAAAACTTCTGATTCTGGCTTGCATAGTCCTTTCTTTAAACTAGTTTTGACCTTTATTTATTCTGCCTTGCCTTGTGCATATCATTCATAACACTTAGCAGTGATTAGCAGACAGCAGATGCTCATTAGTGTTCTGTGCCAAAATTAAAAAACAAACAAACAAAAAGAATACAAGAAGAAGAGGAGGAAGGCTCCAGACTTCATAGAGTCCTCTTCTCCTAAATCTGTTTATCTACAAGCATTTCTACATGGACATTATCAGGTTTGAAGATTACGGCCTAGGAGTTACTCCCTGGATTACTTGACATGAGTGGTCCCCTCTCTCCCTCACTGCATACGGGAAGAGAATGCCCTGGCAATATGACCCTGAGATAATGGAGGGAAACCGATCAAAACCCATTCAGGTAGTAAGAATTGATGATATTGTTCAGGGTGAAGAGCACCAATGGCAGAGAAAGCAGGATTGAGTTGTTTTTTGTTTTTTGTTTTTTTGAAAACTGTCAAAAATGAGACCTGTGAGCTTGTGGAAAATATTACTTCTTGATCCCATAAGTCACTCAAAATGGCCAATCGTGAAAACATGGCATAAAAATAAAGGGCATAGGCTTTGGATACAAATATATACCTGGGTTGAAATTTCTGCTCTACTCTGAAACTGAATTATTTGGCACTGTATTATCATGTTCTCTTAAGTACTCAGCTCCTCTGATCAGTTAAGAAAGAAATATCTATTTGAGAGATTAAAAAACTGACCACTAATGCTTGAATATTCCAATTCACTATCTATAATACATTATGGATAGTAGCTATTATGGTTTGATGTAGAGGACTTTGCTTTTTGAACACATGTGTTATTGTGCCTTGCTTGTTAAAAGTAAGTGAAAATGAAAGTTACATTTAAAAAACATGTTGTTTTTTAGGGCTAGAAATATTTTTTAAAATTTCCATTGGGTTTCAGTTACATAAATGTGTCATAAATCATTAACAACTTGAGTGTTGTATAAGTGGGAGTATTTAGGGTGGTAGAGAATCCCTCAAGTTAAACAGTGAAGAGCTATTGACAATGGAACATAAATCTGAAGATAAAGCTCTCCTGAAATCATAAGCTGATGGAAAATTTTCCAGATTCTTAAGGTCTGATTTAAACACTTCTTTCTATTTTAAGTCTACTGCTTAGGTATAAGTATTATGGCTTTTGTTTTTGGTTGTTTGTATGATGGTGTTTGTGTATGTGTGTTTGTTTGAAAAATGAGTCAAATAAGCAATAATGTAAAATATTTTGGTCATTTTTAATTTATATATTTGAAAGAAAGAGGGGCGATTTTCTTAGTGGTTGTAATACATGTAGATTTTTTTTTCATCTATGAACAATATTTGTTAAAAACTGCCTTTTGTATTGTGGCTGAAGTGATGGTGTTAAAGGGGAGGTGGTTAATAGCAGCCCAATTGTTGAATCAGAGCTCTGCCTCCTGCCAGGGCAAAGATATAACAAAATAGGAGGTAATTTGACCTACACACAAACCAAAACTACAGACAGAAATGAGTAGAGTATGATCAGAGGTGAGCCAAGGAAATAAAGAGTTTGGCATATGGAATATTCTTTTATTTCACCCCTGGAGGACACTTTACTCAATTGCCTTATTAGTGAATTCAGTAGAATATATAACAAAAGAATGATTTTAAATTCTCTTTACAAGCATAGCTTTTTTTCATAGCTTCAACAGCCGAATCTCCAGGCAATAAAAAGATAGTATTTCTGCTTTCACATGAAGGTAAAGAAAAGCTTAACCCTTAGCGAAAATTCAGTGCAGTATTAATTTGCCTTGGGCGATTTAACATCTGAATATTTTATTTCAGCCTATCTGGAGAATGATTGCATGTTTAGTTTATTAAGACATAGCTTTGAATTTCATCTCTACAGAATGATGTGTAGAAATCACATTTATAGGGACAGGATATTGCCTACTTCCTACCATCTATAAATCAGCATGGCTTCTAGCAACCATCATATATGCATTAACGTGTATATATATATGTGAACAGAACAGTTTAGTAACTGCTAATTCTGGCAACAAAATAAATTTAATGTTTGAGAAAATGATATCAGGTTATTAGCCAGAAGAGAGAAAGGCCTTGGATAAATAGCACTCTATAGAAGAGTTTGGTGTGGCCGACGTGCTCAGTGGTTGAGCATCAACTATGAACCAGTAGGTCATGATTCAATTCAGTGGTCAGGAAATATGCCTGGGTTGCATGCTAGATCCCTGATCAATGATTCTCTCTCATCATTGATGTTTTATTTCTCTCTCTCCCTCTCCCTTCCTCTCTGAAATCAATAAAAATATATATATATATTTTTTAAAACTCTGTGTAAGAGGGAGGAGAATGGATATTTATGACACTATTTTATTGGGTGTTTGAGCCAGAATTTATTTCAAAAGCATTATAATGAACTTTTCCTCTTTATTGGCTTATTAAGTGATTGCCTGATTCTTCAGTTATATTTATTGCATTATATTAAAGGACATTATATATTATTGTTTTATTCACAAATTTAAAGGTTATCAAGTATAGGGGTATATTTTTCAAAAACAAATGATTTAGTTCATATTGAGGGATAGGTAGCAAATAAATATAGGTCTATATTTGAGGTAAACCTGTACTCTGTAGCATTGCTTTCTGGGCTTTTCTCATAAGATAGCACTTAAAAATAAAGGGGGTAGGTGTGGAATTAAGGGGGTTAATAGGGTGAAAGTGACATCTGTAATATTTTCAGCAATAAAGATAAATTTTAAAAATGTTTGTGGGTAGGCTGAAATAAATAGTTGAGACTTATACTGACTGTTGAGAGCATGGGGGCTCCCATTTCTCCCAGGCCCTATCAAACCTATAACTCTATTACTTGGTATACTTGTTGGGAAACTCTGTTTGTGATAACTTATCTGGCCAAATCAGAATAAAGTCATCTCACTACTACTACAAAAGCACACAACAGTGAAATTAACTTAGCATTACCACAAAAATTAGAGATGTGAATCCCAAACCAAACAAAATAAATACAACTCTGCTCCCTATTATTTTATAATAACCACATTAGAAAATAATTAAAATAGTGAGTTATTATGATAACTATATATCAGAGATACGCTAGTTCAAGTATAATTTGAAGCAAAGTGAAGTTCTGCTTTAGGAGCCCTAGTATTTTCATAAAGTAGGCTCCAGTGCATTCATTGCTCCTGAAATCACCCATAGGAATTATTAATAAATTCCTGGGTGGATTGCTTACTAGATATTAAAGACCTAAAAAATGAATTGTTGCTGACCAAGGCATCCAATTTTACCTTGAAGGTAGTGGAAATAAAGACATCACTGTGGTTTCTTCAAAAAAATGTAGTCCATGGTTAATACCAAATAAGATAACTGAGACCACTTAGCCCTAGAATTATCAGAGAACCTGAAATAATATGAACTTTTTATGAAAAGAAGACAAAGAAATATATTCTATATAATAAAGAGGTGATATGCAAATTGACCATCGCTCCAACACACAAGATGGCTGCCCATATGTGGTCAAAGATGGCCACCCCCTTGTGGACACATGATGGCCACCACAAGATGGCTACCAGAGGAGGGCAGTTGTGGGCGATCAGGCCATCAGGGGAGGGCA